CGCCGGTCCTAGCCTCCTTAACCGCCGCTCCCATCACCTTCCCACTTCCCTTAGGATTCCTAATTTGGTTGAAGTTAATTTAGGATCAATTTGAAATTCAAATCAATCACATTTGAAATTCAAATTCTTTCCTAATTTAATTAAACTATTTTAGGAAAGTTCTTAATTTAAATCCATTTGAATTTGAAATTCAAATTGGATTTGATTTATTACTTTCCTAATTCCTAAAATCAAATTAAAAAGCTTTAATCTCTCCCATTAATTGCTCCCTAGCCCATTATTGCCGCCGGCCCCTATAGGGGAAATTTAGGATTTATTTCCTAAAACCCCTAACCCCCTCTTGGAAACAATTCTAAAACCCATCCCACCTCCTTTGGCTGAAATCTTCATAGCCTCCTCTTATTTACTTTCCAAATCCTATCAATTGGATTTGGAAATATTTCCCTTTTCACCTCCCTCTACCCGCCCTCTCTCTCCCTCTCTCTAATTCCCTCTCTACACATTAATACACCTTTCCTCTCTTGGGATTAAATTCAAATTTAATTCCTAAATCCCTCACAATTAGAAATCTAAAATTTATTTCAGATTTTCAATTGTTCCTCCCTACTTAACCTACGTCACCTCTCCCACCCTCATCCCTCGGCCGACCACACCTTGTCATCCCACTTCAAGTTGAAGAGAAACTTCTTTCTCTTCAACAATGTTCACTATTACTAGCACCCCTTGAGGGAGATCATCATCTAGCATTCATGAATGGCCGATCCTGACACTGATTACAGACTTGCCTACGACGAACACGGCTTCGTGCACATTCTCCATTCAACCTTCTTCGACGTCAACCCGAGGATCGACCATACAGTAGAGGACTACATAGAACACATCTTGGACAATTTGGTTGAAGCAATCGAAGAGCAATTAGAGATCGTCGAGTGGAGGATTGCAACCGACCCTTGACAGGGTTTTCTAATTACTAATTTTCTTGTATTTTCTAAATCTAATCTTTTCTTTGTGATATTGATTGTAATCTCGAAGGTCACATCTACCTACTTCTGTCAAGCTTAGTAAACGTAGGGATCGCATTTGTTTCCTAATCTTATTGTTAGACTAGGAATTTTTCGTTGAAAACTACTATGTTTGCATGATGTTATTTTCCTACATTATTTTGATGGTTCAAATTTCTTCATGTGCAACTTAAGCCTAAACGACATTGATCGCTCTTACTTTTGATTCTTTGTTTTATCTGTTAATAGGCCTATTTGTTGTTGCTCTAATCATTAAGTTGTGCAAGCCCTTCATAAATTCATTGCAAGATTTGTAGTCCTACATCAGATTAGCTCCTCTCAGGTTCACAAATCGACTACATACTATGCACAATTCATTTTTAGTAACTATAAAGAAAAATGAGGGCAATAAATTTCATAACGATAACATAGTTGTGAGAGTTGGAGAGGTAGAAGGAGAGCACACACGTTTGATTTTGACAGGGAGAGAGTAAACTAATTTATGGTTCCATTATACATGTAATCTATGGATAATAACTTCTTTTCAATCTTCCCAGTCATAGTAAATGGAGATAAATGACTTTAATCATAAGCAAATGTGGTTAAGTGCATATTGTTAAATCACAAGGAGGCTTGTGCGATTATGAAATTTAAGCTTCGTTTGTATGATTATGTAGTGTTTCTCTCTCCATATCTATCTCTCTGATAATATTTCTGGACAGTCTTTACAGCATCCTTTTATGCAGATGAATTGTCAAGTGTTTTCAACTATTGAATTCAAAGGGTACTTAAATAAGCCCGGGTCATAATAAAATTGAATACAATATTTAGATAGCTTACTGACATGAGAATGAGTTATCTCGCCTCAAGATATTTAAGTTGTTTCATAACAATTTCATTCAATGTTCCAGTTTTAAAAGAGTTTATATGGCTTCATGCACAAAAAAACAAACTGATCATTTGAAATACAGTATCGAATAAGATTAATATATTCCAAATTGATTATTTGAAGATTTGCCAAAATGCTTTCTCATAATATGTAATTTACTTGGAAAGAAATCAAACATAATATTCTACAGAAATTGCAGCGACAGCAGTATCAGATTGACAACCCTATCCCCAAACATATCAAGAAAGTATAAAAACATTTCAATTGAAGCAATAAGAACAGCCATTTTTGTAGTTACACATTCAGTAATTAAAAAATTCGGTAAGCTTTACCTCCAGGCAATCGATAACAGCCAATTGATGTTCCTCTGCAATGTCTGGGCTTATCTTAATAAGTCGACCAAGAGCATCAATTCCCATATATTTGAGATTATGACTATCACTCTGCCAAAACAGAAACTCGATATCTAAATGCTATAATGAGATCACAGAGAAATCAAAGAAAGTGAAAAAAGAAGCTAGGTTTGAACTTGACAAGCAGATAGATATTAAACTTCACAGCAACTTTAAGCAAAGCAAACCAACCTTCAGAAATTTTGAAGTTGTTTCAATAGCAGCATCCAATAACTTCGTATTTGGATGGATGGATGAAACACAGCAAATGCATTCATAAAGCACAGCATTTCCTATGTTGCTCGACATTTCAACCTTTCTAATTATCTCACCAAGTACAGTGTACATGTGTCCGCTAGCCTGCTTATCCCCACTACCAAGCAATGCGAGAATTTTTAATAACTTCACCTGAGCTCAATAAAAATAACATGGAAGGGAAGCAATAATTAATTTACAACCTCACATGCAATTAATGCTCTTTAAGCACACAAAAAAAAAGAAAAAGAAAAATCAAGCAAATAGCATGATTACAGATTACAGATTACTTGAGCTAATACTAAAATTGGTTCAAAAACTATTTCAGCTTCCAAGTTTTTTCTCAAGTGAAATCCCTGATTGACCCTTAATCTTGAATCTAAAATCTAGTTCAACTTATTTATGGCTGCAAATAAAGACAAGAAATAAAGATTTAAGCTTCGTTTGGGACGGCTTTTTTACTGCTGCTTAAAGCAGCTTTCTAGTACAAAAATTTTAAAGCAGCTTTCTAGTACAAAAATTTTAAAGCAGCTTTCTGTACACTGAAGAAAGCCTACTAAAAATGGATAATTTTATGCTAATTGAAGTACCGTTTTTACTGTTCTCCTTTTTACTGTACCGTCCTCTTTCTACTGTAGTAAATTTATTATTTAAATATAATATGCGGTAATGATACCGCAGTTAGGTTTCATGATTATGTACTATAAATAGAGAGTTCTCCTCTCGTGGTTGTGATGTGGTTGAGTTGTGTGAAAGTCTAATTAGATATTATTCTAGCAGCCTTACGAAGTCATCTTGAAAATAATAAAAGTATTAATTTACTCCAACAAATTAGAACAATAGGTGATAGAATTCTACTAGAAATGGATAATTTTACTCCAAGATACTCTCAGTAGCCACAAAATTATGACTTCTTCTCCTATATGCAAAAAATATAGCTTTAGAAAAATCATCCCTGTAGCCAGCCTGATTCATAGGCGCTTAGCTTTA